GAGGGGCCCCGGGACGGAAAAAAAAAAAAAAAAAAAAAAAGTAGCACATCTTTATACTGGCCAAATATCCTTCATTTGATGCCTTCTGGCATTTCAATGTAACATGTCCAAACAGAATGCCACCACTCACCCCAGGGCTGCTCTCTGAATTCCAGAGCTCAGTGAATGACACTGCCATTCCCATTTGCCCATCAGAATTTTTATCAACATTCAGTGATCAAAGGTGAACCACAAAGTAAACCAACACGCCCTATCCTTTCATGGAAAACAATTTCCCTTGCATTAAAAATTGCCTCATTTTCTTCATCTGCTTAGTTTTCTGTGAATTTATCACCAACTGATTACTTTTTGCCCCACTTAGAGGGATATTTGTACTGATTTGCTATTTGGGCCTTATGTGTTAAGACCTCATTTCTCAAGAAGGATTTTCCCCTTTCTTAGGCTTACTCTCTCATATGGAGAGGACATAATCTCCAATAAAATCTTGAGAAAGGGTACATATGACATAAAGAAATGTGAAATTTTGCATGGTGAAAATATCTTTATTTACCTCTCAAGTTCACTGCTGGCTTGAAAAATATAGACTTCCAGGTTGGGAATTACTTTCTCAAAACTTTAAAAGCATCAATCCATTGTTATCTACCATTCATTGTTCCTGCCATTCTGATTCCTGATCTTTTGAATATAGCCTGTGTTTTTCCTCTCTGAGATATTTCTTACCTTTTCCAGCCACTATGCTGTGTATTTAGTGGCAATTAAGTCTTTCTTATATTATTTCCCCCCCTTTGTTCTCTGATTTCCCACTCTGAAATGTCCTTACTCAGAAGTTGGCCCCTCCAGTATGTCATCTCTTCTTTTTTCTATCTTCCAACCATTTATCTTTTCGTTCTAGGAGATTTATCTGTTAAACATCTACCCACCTCTCAATAAATTTCACATGGTTTCTTCTACTCCCTTTGTTTCAGTTTTGTACATATGGGGATCCTTGGCTATATTTCTATTTCAGACTAGAAGCAGTGAGGTCTGGGAATGTGAAGGATGCTCAGGCTGTCATCATCTTCTAGAGCTTTTCTCTTGGGAGCCCAGTGAGGGAAGGAAGGGAGGGGGATTTCTTCCACTCAGTATTCAAACCTTCCCTTACTTCTTCTGCTTCCAAAACAGCGGCTCACCCACATCTTCAGCAGTAGCAACTGCTCCAGAAAGTAAACTCCCTGCCTTCTGACAGAGGAGGAGAAGCAGCACTGCTGGACTTCGCAGGCTGGGAAGAGGCCCAGGGAACTACTCTTCCTTAAACTTTCATACAAGCTTCCTGTTCTCACCCCTATTTTCCACCTTTAGAAGTTCCCAATGCTTCCAAGTTCTGAGACTGTCTAGGGATCAATGGAGTTAAGCATTTAATTGGAAATTGTCCTATTATTTTTCTTACCAGGCCAATTCCTATTTGTCTCTCTCAAGACTTAGTTTAGGTACACCTTTCCACAGACTTTGGCTCTATGAATTTAAGAATAAATACAGGCTTTAAAAATTAATGAAGGGGACTTCCCTGGTGGTCCAGTGGTAAAGAATCCTCCTTCCAATACAGGGGACGCAGGTTCAATCCCTGGTCAGGGAACTAAGATCCCACATGCCGAGGGGCAACTAAACCCGCACACCAAAACTACTGAGCCCCCGTGCCTCAACTAGAGAGCCTGCGTGTTGCAAACTATAGAGCCCATGTGCTCTGGAGCCCATACCACAACAAAGAGAGAAAACTCACATGCCACAACTAGAGAGAAGCCCACGCACTGCAGCAAAGAGCCCGTGTGCCACAACTAAGACCCGACACAGCCAAAAATAAAATAAATATTTTTTTAAAATTTAATGAAAAGTTTTACTCTATTCTCTTCTTCCATTTGATGGCAGTCACATCCGAAATTAAATTCAATTATCGCATCTGTAACATTACAAATTTTACTTTTTCTTACTTTGTCTGGAACCATCTTTATGAAGAAAAGCCAATATTATGGAGACTAGTTAAAAAAAATTCACACATGTTCTCAGTTAAGTAGCAATCCAGCCACAAAATAAGACCTCCAAATGTAGGCTATAAACAGCAAACTATTTCAAAACATGCCCTCCCTGATGTATATATGCGTGAAGACAATTTCTAATCTTTTCTGAATTTTCAAAAATCCTTTTAAGAATTTAATGAAGGCTACAAAACCTCTCGGAACGTCTGGCCTCACTATTTCAGAGAATCTTGTTTCAATGTTTCTCTTTCAATAACAAATATCAGATGGACTCAGTCTAATGTACTAGTTCACTGGCGTCACGCGTCTTTTCACCTGTGTCCATTCTATCCCCTTTGAATGGGCCACTGTGCAGAGCACTTACTGCTTTCAGAATTTCAGGGACCAACCTAAGTACCAGCTCATCATACAGCCTTCCCGACCACTCCAGTCAAAAGAGCTGACTGTCCAATTCATGTATCACTCACACCTTTCTTCCTCTTCCTTCTCCATCCACTCATCCAAAGTGCACAGCATGTCATGGGCTATGCTAAGAACGTATGGGTCACATTTGACATTACAGCGTTGTACTGTTAATTGCTTCAGGTTTTTCTTTACTCAGATACTGATAATCTTAAAAGCAGGAATTTTCATACTATACAGAACTTCAAAGATGTGACAATGTGATCAAACTCCACAATAAAAACAATGTTCTTTTAATTGATTTAAACAGGTAACATAAATGGAGTGGGGGTAAGTTCAGACAATGAAAACAAAGTAATTTGTCCTTAAGACTTTTCACATGCATGTCAACTACACTTTCTTATAAGTGTATTACTGCACTGAAGTGTCAGGTAAAGGCTGTTTAATATTCATTCCCCAAATGGAAAAACACATTTTAGCCACTGACCTGTTATTCTCAGGTTCAGACTGGGGTGAACCTCGATGATTATTTATAAGTCTCGTTGCATAAGTATTTGCCGCTTCTGAAAGATGTCCTCTTGGAACATTTTCCTTAACGGGAGGAAAGCTTTGACTTGACACAGGAGCTGTTGGAAACAAGAGCTCAGCAGGA